TTAACCAACTGAGCCACCCAGGCGCCCTTTTTTTTGTTTTTTAAAGATTTTATTTGAGATAGCGAGAGAGAGAGAGAGAGAGATTGAGAGAAAGCGAGCAGGAGAGGGTTAAGCAGACTTCCACTGAGCAGGGAGCCTGATGCAGGGCTCGATCCCAGGACCCTGAGATCATGGCCTGAGCCAAGGACAGATGCTTAACTGACTGAGCCACCCAGGTGCCCTACATATCAGGTTTTTTATTTTAGTTGTTGAGATGGGGGAGGGTAAGTCTGGTTTCTGTTCATCTATTGTGGTTAGAATTAGAAGTGTCCTGAAAGCATTCTTTCTAGATTGTTTTAAAGCCTGATGCCATTCTGATTTGCATGTCATTTTTCCCCCTTGAAGCTTTTTAGGATGTCTATTTTTAAACTTCCCCATGTGTATGTTGGTGTGGATTCTTTTTCCATTCAAAGAGCTGGACACTTAATAAGCATTTTGGAAACTTGTGACCTCTTGTTTTTCAGAGTTTTTTTTTTTTTTTTTTGGTAATTTCTCTCCTGTTTTCTGTCTTTGCAGAATTCCAGTGATAGCTGGATATTGACACTCTTAGACTGATCCATTTTTTCTTTCATATTCTTTTTGCCCAACTTTATGGGAAAGTTCAACCTTATCCTTTCATTCTTATATTAAATATATTTCTGGTATTTCCAAAACCTGTCTTTTATCCTTTCCGACAGCCTTTTTCCCCCTCACTCAATGGATGCAGTACTTTTTAAAGTTTTAAGTAATCTCTGCACTCACGTGGGGCTCAAACTCACAACCCCACGATCAGGAGTCCTACCCTCTACCAACTGAGCCAGCCAGGCACCCCGATGCAGTACTTGTTCTCATACTTTGTGCCATAGCTGTTTCTTAGATACCTTTTTCTGCTCTGTACTTTTTGTTTTGGTATTTTATGTTACAGACTTTTCCTCAAATCTGTGTCTTGGCTGTCTATATTTAAGACTGGGGTGGGGTGCCTGGGTGGCTCAGTTGTTAAGCGATTGCCTTCGGCTCGGGTCATGATCCCAGGGTCCTGGGATCGAGCCCCCCACATCGGGCTCCCTGCTCCGCGGGAAACCTCCTTCTCCCTCTCCCACTCCTCCTGCTTGTGTTCCTTCGCTCGCTGTGTTTCTGTCAAATAAATAAAATCTAGAATAGAGAAAAAAAAAAAAAAGACTGGGGCACTAAAAATGAGAAGCTTCTTTAACTGTTCATGTTCACTGTGGGGCAACCAGCTGGCATTTTCACTGGAGAGCTCCTGCTGTCAGAATCTGTAGGTCTTGTCTCTGGTTTAGTCCAGAAAAGGGTCTTCCAGCCTGCTGTGTAAACCTAGGGTGGGGCTGGAATCTCAGCTGCTCAGGTGGTTTCTCCTGAATAGGACGTGTAACTTTCTCCAGGGTGGTGGGCTTGAACTTCTGCTTCTTACATGAATTTCCAATCCTTGTTTTCCTCCTGGCACATGGGGCTTCTAATTCCTTCTTCCCTTTACAATGTTTGTTTTTTAGAGGGAGGTACAAATAAGGTTGCTTCCCATGATGTGTTCATAAATTCTTCCAATAGTTACCCTTTCAGAAATTGTGGATTAAAAAGATTTTAGTTTCATGAAGATGGAATGTGCGGTTTTTTTTTTTTTTTAAGATTTTACTTACTTGACAGAGACACAGCGAGAGGGAACACAAGCAGGTCCTCGTTTTGGTGTACTTTTTTTTTTTTTAAAGATTCCATTTATTTGAGAGAGAGAGAATGAGAGAGACAGAGCATGAAAGGGGGGAGGGTCAGAGGGAGAAGCAGACTC